TTTATTTATTTTTTTTTTTTTTGCATTAAAAGCACATATTATATGCCGGAATAAACAGCATTTACATACACGTAGATTTCAAAATAATTCACATTTTTATACCGTTAAATAAACTAAGACTAACTAAAATAAAATGTTACAAAGAAAATTAACTATACAACAGAGAAAACTTGTTTAGCTCATAGGCAACACTTTACATTGCAAAAATGTAAAATCACAAACAGAGCAAAATGGACAGACAATGCATCTGTAATTTCTAAAATCAGCTTGAATTGTGCTGAAAAAAGTTCTCCTTGCACCATGCAGTATAAAAATATTCTGATGCAAGTATTTTATTTTGAATTTCTAACAAAACAAAGAATACATTTCAACACAAAGTGTATACAAGCACAAACGAACAAGTATCACAGAAAACACTTTACAGAGAAATTAAGCTTTGTACCATCTTATAATAAAAATATTAATCTTTTGATAAAACACATGAAATAGCATATCTTCAGCATTTTCTTATTTGAGTCCAAATACTTATTTTCAGTGTCATTTTTATTAATAGCTTTGTACCATCTTATAATAAAAATATTAATCTTTTGATAAAACGCACAAAATAGCATATCTTCCGCATTTTCTTATTTGAGTCCAAATACTTATTTTCAGTGTCATTTTTATTAATAGCAGTTTGAAAAAGATGCACTAAATTTTTTTTTTTAAAACTATCACAATTTATTTTGAATGAAATACTGCAAAGAATTTGTTTTGCAAATATAATTATATTTTACGTAAAACAAAAATGCCTTTCAAAAATTTTATGAGAACGAATGAATATGAAAAGAATGAACTACATGTACGTACATAATATACATTGCAGCAAATATGGAACTTAGTTACGGATCGAGGAGGTAATGAATCATTTAAAATAGAGTTACTGAAATAAGAAAGAAGGAGATTTAAAATCTTATTACTCAGTTATACCAAAAAGATTTTAATATATTACCAAAGCCCATTAAAATGCAAGAATACTAGGAAATGCCTGAAATATGTGTCACACAATGTATCTTTTGATTATCGCATACTTTTGTTAGCAGTTTTCTTCTTTTTAGTAATCACATGCTAAGTTTGCTGAATCATGTCTAAAACTGCTGAAACAGCAGAAATGCTTATTTTAGCTCAGCAAACTATCTTTTATGCCTATTAATGTCATGTTTGATGAGAAAATTAAGGATCTACAGCACTCACAACACAGGGTCACAAAACCATTAAGAGACAGAAAAACATTTTGAATTTTGCAACATAACAAATGAAGAATATATTAGAATTTATTAAAATGAAATTAATCATCTTGGTTTTTTTTAGCTCTTAACACTTAAATCATTTCAGTACCATTTGCAGTATTTTAGAAATGTACTTTAACAAATGCACTTACTTTTTCTGTGGCCCTGTATGTCTAAATAGGAGTATGGTGAATTCAGTATACTAAATAAACAAGTTGACACCAAAGTAATCAAAACTTTTCTAGCATTTTTTTAATGTGTGTATATATAATTTAATTTTTAATATTATTATATAAATAAATTTTAAGTGGCAATAAGGACTTTCAAAACAAAAATTCAATACTGAAGCAGGAGATCATGAAAATAATATAATTCAGCTAAATAAATCACTACTCACCAGAATATGTTTTAGAAACTATTCTTATTAAATACATTCAGAGAAAACAAATACAGATAAAATTTTATTCATCAACAGAAATAAATATTGGTGAACAAGCCTTGGGCAAATACTAAACAGGCAAATGGCAAAAAAAATGTTGAATTACAATGAATAATGTAACAATTAGAAATCAAACACACCTTTTTCGGGAGGCAATATTAGAAGTATTTCTATTAGTTACAACTAGGAGTCCTCTAAAAGCATTTCAATCATTTTTGACACATGAAATTAAGCTGCATTACAGTGCACTTTTATGCATTTTTTTGTTTGATCAGCTATACTGAATTGACTTTTACACGATCATAATTTTCACTATCCATATTTAGTTTAATCATTTTTCGGGGAGTAAGTAAATTATTCTTTGTTCACTACATAACCTGACAGTTCTGAAAAAGCTGTATAGTTTTTGAAAGCACCAATAACTTTTTAACTATCAGGATTGATTGAAATGCTTTGAAAACTCCTAGATATAAATATTGCTTCCAGAAGAAGTCTGTTGGAAGGGTTTCTGTTGCAACATAATTTTTTTATTGTCATTTCAAGTTTTAGGCATTTTCCTTTACAATTTGATTTTTATATAATTTTAGCCCAAGGCTTGTTCACCACTATTTCTGTTATGAATTGCATTTTATTTGCAATAGTTTTACCTTAATTTATATAATTAGAATATTTTCTAAAACATGTCTTGGTGAGAAATGATTTATTTGTTTAAATAATACATATATGTATACCTTTAATGAAAATGAAGGAATACATTTAATCACAAATATGTATTTGTTAAATGGAATGGAATGCCTCTGAATTACAGTAGCTATGAAAAAATTGCATTAATAATGTCAGGAACTCGACAATAAAATAATATATTTACTTCTACTGAAAAGGTCAACTAGCACAGAAACACACACATGGTATATTTGCAAAAAGGATTACCATTTCAGGAACAAGAAATTTAAAAAATATATGATGACCTTGCCCACGGTTGAAGTTTCAGTGTGCTGGCCTCATACATAAAACAATGCACCATAAAAACTCTGCCTTTTAATTTTTCACATTTTTTCCTCGTTACAGGGTAACTGGAAATCTGTATATTCACCATGAACACATCTTCTAAAAAAGCTTATTTGTAAAGCCATATTAAAAAGTCATGGCATAAAATGGATCACAAATAAAACAACTAAGCTATACGTAAAATATAAAATATTTTTGAGATTCAGCAAGGTATAAAAACACTAATAACACTTTTTTTAGAAGGGAATTCACAGGGGGAAATTTGCATCCCATTTTATGGTCATCTATGATTTTAATTCTTTATAAAGCTTTATGTACATTTTAAAACATATGACATTTTTCTGCACTCTTAAAAAATGTCTTCAACAACAATCAAATGCACTTCAAAATAATCCATAACAATCCTCTGGAACATTTCTTACAGTTAAATGATAACATTACCTAACTCAAACAAATGATACAAATATAATTTGATTTGAGAAAGATGGAAAAAGCAAAAACATACTGTCTTCCTTCATTTACAGAAACAGAAAAAGAAACATGAAAAAAATGAAGATTAAGTATATACATTCAAAAACTAGACATCATGATGTGACAAAGCATATATTGTATCCTAAACAAAATTTAAAATATTCATACAGGCAACCTAAAAAAATGCAATTAGTATTAAAAAACATTACCTCAAGAAATCCTGATGTGAGACAGAATATAACATAACACAGTTTTATAAAGGAAAATAAAGTAACTACTCTCAAAGTCTCATATAAACATAAATGTAATAAACTGTAAATACTTCCATTAAAGTGATTATCTTTTTGAGTCAAAAAAGGAATGTTATTGCACATATTACATTTTGAGATATTTATTTAACTTGGCTCTACAATTTTACATAATCCAGATTTCGACCATAATCATTGAAAATGCTTAAATATTTAATTTTTGTTTCAGCTAAAATATATCAATAATATTAATGGTATTATGATTGGAGAGTTAGGTTTGGAGGCAACTTCCCCTTGATAAGTCTGTCTCCTGCCTGCTCAACAGTCATTCACTTATGCATTTAAAAAAAAAAAAAAAAAATTGTTTGGATTAATTTTAATTTGCTAAATTAGTGAATTTATTTTCATGGATTGGTTTTGAGCTTGATTTGCTTATGCTTCTGAATTTAGGTGATATTGTATATTAGTTCGAGAATTAAATCTTTTATATGTTTACACATTTGTTTTTTTTTTTTTTTTGCTTTAAATTTGCTTTTTTTAAAAAAATTTTGGCTTTAAATTTGCTTTTTTACTTTTATACGTGTTTGTTAAAATTTAAATTCAATAATATTAATTCATTGTAATACACAATAAAAACTAGGAATTATTTTAAAAACAAAAAACTGTCATTTTGCAGGCTCAAGAGATATTTTAGCAACACTGATAATGATAGCAAAAATACGAGTCCTGTCAGATACATATTGTATTAATTCAGAAAAAATATACATTTTTTGTATATAAATTTTTCAATCACCCTAAAAATGATTAAAAAAGAGTGGAAGCACAACCATGCTACCTCCACATTTACAGATATTTATGCAATTTAAATTTATTCAAATGTTTAGAAACAAGAAATTTTGAAACAGCGCCTTTTGCTTTTATATCTTTGTATAACTGTTCCATATAAAAAGCGGATGCTCGTTTTATTATTTTAATGTTGCTCATTACCCTGAAAAGTTCATACTTAGATTAAATTTTGCATATTATAAACAGAGAAAGCGCTTGCGTTTATTACATACTAATATAAAATAGATTGATAATCTGCATTAAGCACACAAAAAGCTAAACGCTTTTGAGAGGAATAAATACCCTCATGTTCTTACTAACTGTAAAACTGTCACTGTATTTATTAAATTACAAATCTCTACTTTACATTCAGCTGCCTTCTAAAAAAAAAAGGTGGGGATTCTTACATTGCTTTTTTAAAATTTCTCTACTTAAAACTGAAACGTGAATCATAAAAAAAAAAAAAAAAAAAAAAAAAGTGTTAACTTACTGCAGATTATTTAAATTTTTTTTACGAGTTGGAATTGCAATTAACTAATTAACTAGGATAATTAGCAGTGATAACATCTATGGTTAACTCAAGAAAAATTTAAAAAAGAAGGGAAGAATATTACTACTAACGCTTTGTTTTTTCTAGTAGATTAATATGGAGAATAAGTCAGTTGGTTATTTAAATTACATCAGCATACAGAACAAAAAGAACCTTCTTTCAGTCTCTGATCCTTTCAAACTATGTTTATATTTTTTTTTTCCCTCACACCACTGCGCAATTTTTTTTTTTTTTTTTTTTTGTGTGTGTGTGTGTATTACATTTGTATTTTAATAGAAGTTCAGCGTGAAATAGCAGATTATGATGATTGTAAACTTACTTTTGGAACTTGGTAGTTTATTTTTAACAGATGATTTAAGGATATTTATATATCCTGGATTATGCACAATACTGCTATGGATCAAAACAGCTCCTGGATATTTATGGCATTATCTGTTATCACCTGCTGTTACTCCATTTTTTTTTAAATTTTTTTTTTTCGATTTTGTATTTTTCAAAGAGTCTTAAAACTTGCTTCAAAATATGTCAGAGTAATTTTTCTTCCGTTTCACAATAAATAAACTTTAATTTTTTGATAGGACCCCTTATTTGGGAGTTGACTGCATAACTTTTTCTTAATGGAAACAGTCATATTATATCCCAAATTCAAAGTTTTCAATCAGAAGTAATTTTTGTTTGAAGAAGAGTTAAAATCAAAAATACAAAATTATATTTAAATTTACATCCTCTCATAAATGTTATGTTTTAGTAGTGCAAGTAGTAAAACCAACCTAGGCCCTCTGGTGTTGACATAAAAATCACATGATAACTGTTTCTTAAGGTTAATTTTACATAGTTCACCTGAAAAAAATATTGTTATACTTTATATCAAAACAACCCAATATCAAAAAGCGGAGAAAAGTTTTAAAAGCTCAAAAGCTTTAAACACTTTTTCTCTATTCTTTTCCTAAATTTATGCTGTTTTGATATTATTAAAATGAAATCATCTAAACAATATTATAGATCGATTAAAAGCTCTACAATCTACCTCAATAAATTAATTTACAAGGAAGACATAAATTCAGACATATTACATGGGTAAGAGTTCATTAAGAATAATGGAATAAAATTAGAAAAGAGTATAAGGAAAGAACACATATTAGAGGTAGCAATATAACTAAGTTATATTTTTATAACCTATGCAAAATATGTCTCAATGAAAAAAAGATTAAAAAAAACTGCAAGTTAGCACTTTATATTCTTAAAGAATTCACATTATATAGGGTAATCTTTTATTTAGAGAAGTGCATAAACAGTAAAAATTTTCAATAAAAAACTATCACAAGTATGACACTAAGATCCTGTAATAGGAATTTTGTCAAATTACAAAAGTAGTATACAAATTTTGAATTTTGGAATTTGTTGATGCAATGCCATGAACACTAATTGCATTCCTTACTGTACAAATGAAAAATTACAAAATGAAATTATGATCATATATGAGCTAAAATTAAAATAAATAGAAGTATCATAATTTAACTGTTGTACAAGTTTTGTAAAAATTGAGACTTACATTTTGATGACATCTATTTTAATTGTCGTTAAATGAAAAAAATGGAAGACTATTATAATGGAATTGAGAACATTTATACTTCATAAATGCAAAAAGAACTCAAAACATGATTGTTAATAAAATTACAAGACACATTAACAATCAGATTTGATTTACAAAACCACATCACAACTCAATATAAAAAGTGCATTTAATAATTTAGTAGCTAGTTACATATGTAAATAAAGTTTCAGAACATTTTAAAAATTACCCAAAAGTAATTACACATTTTGGTATATTTGAGCCATACAAACTATTTTAATACGAAAACATTACTGAAAATATACGATATGCTAAAATTTAGTTTTAATGCCATCAATATGATATTAAAAAACAAGTTATTATATTTCAGTGAATATATCTAGAACTTGTTCTCACAATGAAATTTATTTTATATTATTTTTTAATTAACAAATTTACGAGATAAAAAAGGCAATCTTGCAGGTTATGCACTTAGATTTAAAATGCAATGTGCATATCAACATGCTATTTTAAAATGAATTTTGATTACATATAATTAATAATTTACAGTATATAAAGACATCAAAAATAAAATGCTTACAGAGCTAAACCTTCAAAAATGGAATATACTGAAACCATCAAAATTATGTACATTTTTAATGTTCATACTTTATTTTATATAACTTTAGAAATGATTATGAAACATTTAATTGATCGGCAACTAAAATCATTTAACAGTTCAAATGTTGCATACATTTTAAACATACAAAAATGATTTAATGAGTCATATGACTTCAATACTTGATTTGCAAAACAAACGGTTATTACAAATTTCACAAACACTTTTCTTAAAATGTAGTGAGATTCATCACACACATTCAAATTATCCAAAAAGTATATGAATGATATATCTCAAGGGGGAAAAAAAAAGGAATGTATTAGATGTAAATTTTGTACACAGAAAATTGATATAAAAAGTTTAATTACAGTACATTCTATATATAAATGGGATGTCAATATTTATAACCTACAGGCACGGATTTTTTAAATACAATTGAGAAAGAAACAATGCATAATAAAACATTAACTAATGAAATATAACTAAATGTATTTAAATCACACTTCATCAGGCATTAAATGTTTCTCTCCATGATTATTGGTTTGAGCTTTTTTCAGAAGATTCATTTGCCCAGTTCTACTTTCGAATTTCTTTTCAAGATCTAAAATGCGAACTTCATGTTTTTGGATGGTCATCTTTAACTTTTTTACTTCTTCCAACAATTCATCCAGTTTCTGCTTCTAAATAAATTTAGAATTCTTTCAATTAATTACATTAATGAGAGACCATATTTTTAATACTTAAGACCATATAAAATAACTTAAATATTAAAAGACAAAATGGTGAAAATTATATCTGTAAATCATTATAATTTTTATGCATAAATGTTAAGCAATATAAAATATATTTTAAGAAATTTAAAGTTATATTAGACATAAGTTGAAGCACAATGATATTTTTTATGAATTTTCCCCTTTTATAAAGTCTCACTGTAAAAGTGAAACTTTCCAATAAATTTCAAAATACTGTATTTTTTTTGCATATCCCTCCTTTTTACTTCCTTGTATGAAGTAAAGGAAGTATCATAATCAAGAAAAATTCTGGGTACCACATTTTAACGAAAATATCCATTTTGTCCGCTATTGAATGCAATTTAATGATGCTTTTGCGTGACATCTGTATGTAAGGACTGAATAAAAAAGTCTTTTTACCCAAACAAATTATAAAACTGATTTAAAAAAAAGAGTAGCTTCAGAACTTTGAAATACCGCATATAAGACTGCTATAACATGTAGATACCCACTCTGTTACTCGGCTCAGTGAGCCCAATTTTTTTTATTTTATATGTTGGTAAATTGTGCATTATTTGCTTTAAAAATGATTGAATTATGTTGTTCTTATCTTCCGATTAAGGTTTTTATGCCTTTAGTTAAACTGCAAGCAGTAGTTGTAGAACATCAACAATTTAAGTTATTTAAGTGTGGCTAAGCCTAATTTTTTTTTACCATAGCAGCCATATTTGTTTACATTTGAAACTCAATAGCGAATAAAATCTTTCTGCATCTTCAGTGTCTTTTTGCTGAGTGGAACCAAAAGGAAATTTTATGCACTGAAAAATCTGCCTTCTTGCCTGTTGGCTGAAGGTTTATGTGCTATCGATGAAGTAAATTAATTCAATTCAATAAGTTTAAATGAAATGCAGGAAAAAATGCATATAATTTAATATTCCATACAATTAAGTCATGTGGTGTACACATCAGATTTTTTAATTGGACTGCATGAAAATCGAGAAGGGAAAATTTTCTTTGAAAAAAACTGAGAAATTTATGTAACTCAGCACTATAATTAATGACAAGAATAAGAGCAGAAATTGATAACAGAATTAAAATGGCTTAAAAATGCTTCTTAAGGCTAAGAAGACAATTAAGATCAAATCTTGTATAAATCACTAATACTACCTGTTTTACTTTAAGCAAGTAAAACATGGACTTAAACAAGACATAATTGTTTGTAGTGGGATACTTATGCTGGTTTTCTTTTGTTGGCATAACAGAAGATGAGAGAGAAAGAATTAAGTTCCGAGTAACTTAAGTTAAAAAAGAAAACTGTGCTCTTTCTGAACTTTCAAATTTGGCCCAGCTTTTGTACAGAACAAAAATAACTGCAATTAATATCACTGATTTCTCAACTTATTTTTCAATACATTTCCTACTAAACAGCAGCATAATTTGAAACTTTTTTCCTTCCACACATCTTTCCCCCCAGACCTTGAATAACATATTTACAAATTTAGGAGGGATTTCACCATCAGATATAGCTGCCAAGGGTACTGCATCCCCTGTGCATGCTTCTGTGGTGTGGTTTGGTTTGGTTTGTATGATTGTGGCAAAGCCTCGAGGGCTATCTGCCTAACTGAGGATGCTTTCGTAGAGGACTTTCTAAGGGAAATTGGCTCATATACACATTACACATAATGAAAACCACAAAAGCATGCTTCTATGATGTACACGGTTAGCATATCCAGCTAGCAAATGGAGAATTTGTGGTTCGAATCCTGGCGAAGGGATAGTTGATTGTTGATGTTTCTTGATCCAAAACATCTTATGGTGTCTATATAGTGAGAGAAAGTTCTAAAAATGAAAGCTTCAATTATGATTACCTTCTAATTAGGAAATCTCTGACACAAATGTCCAAAACATCTGATGGTGTCCACATAATGGAAGAAAGTTATAAACAGGGAAACTAATTATGATTACCTTCTACTTAGGAAATCTCTAAGTAAAAACATCATGTAATTTCTAAAATTTGTAGCTGCACATATTATGTAATAACTATAAATTATTAATAAATTAGTGTTAACATTCAACACAGAATATTTATAAAATGGCGGAAAAAAAAAAAAACTTACCGAAGGCTGTGGCGTTGGGCTGTTTTTCTTAGGCATATTGTCTAAGATATTGGACTTTGAAATTGTCTTTAATTCCTGCTTCTTTGAAGGCACATATCCTTCCTTCAATGAGATCTAAAATTTTAAAATGCCTACATTATAATATATACATACTCTTACAGTTTTAATTTTTACTTGCAGCAGAGGTTTGCAGGTGTTTTTGCTGCTGGTTAATTTAGGCATAGGCCAGTCTCATGGTGCCATCTATAACTGGTATAGTAAACTAAACTTCCTGATTAGGTTTAATTAGATATTTTAATGCTGATGTTTGCCAACAGAAGGGAACTGTGAATAGTGTGTTTCAGCTGGACTATTGCTGCCAACTGAGGATAAACGTGTGACCTCTTGGTCTCCAGCACAACAATTTTACTAATTTGATTTACTTAATTATGGCAAAGCACTCGAGGGCTATCTGCCTAAGGGGAGGGATGCATTTGTGGAGGACTTCCTAAGGAAAATTAGCTCATGTGCCCGTTACACATGAGAAAAACCACAAGAATAACCATGCAGCCAGCCCAATTTGCAGAGATTTGAGCCTGGACCAAATAACCAGTGTTCAGTGACTTTATCATTCAGCCACTGGTGGGCTGACGCTTTTACTAATCACTTTAACAACAGCAGTGTCTGCAGAGGGCAGAAAGTCTTTCGTGGGCAGCACTCGCAGTGCTCCCCCCACTTATACAGTCTTTATATATTCTTAGCATAAAGATGCATTATTTAGTTAAAGACATTAACAATATTAATCTAAAGGAAGTATTTCTCAAACTTCAGTTAATGAATACAAGTCATCACACAATTCTTCATTTTTCGAGTTGGTAATGATTAAATTCCTCATCCATAATTTATCTGCAAATATCTGAAAGAAACATTCACTTAAATCTGCTGTTGCCAAAAATGATTTCCTCACAACTTACATAAAGCATAACTGAATTATTTGTTTGAGTATAATTTTTAGAATTTTTAGAGGGTTAGAGGTGGGGAATTAAAATTTTCCGTTATGCATACCACATTTCAATAGTTTCAGTTTTCTCCTAGTCCTTGAAATTTGGGTGGACTACATATTTAATTTACTTATTTTTAAAATTTCTAGCAGTAATTGTAAAAATAACTGTTACTAAGATTACACTAGTAACAGTTAGATTCTACAAAATAGAAATAAAACATACAAAATAAAATTTAAATGCATCCCAAAATTAATCTTATTTTTTTAATTTAAATAAAATAAATTATTTATTTAAAAAAAGGAGGGGAAAAAATTAAAATATGCTAAAAACATTCAACTAAAATCAGGTGCAACAGAAAATGATCAAGTTTATAAGGTTCAACTATATAACTCGGCAATATTTTTTTTAAAATGTTCCTTGATAAAAATGGACAGTTTTGAATTCACAACTTTGGCATCATACCACAGAGTTAAGTCTAAATTTATATAAATAACTTGGTAAATAACCATGCTCTGTTTTTAAATGGAAAGCTATAACAGCATGTCCTCTTGGAAACTAGGATCTTATAGAGTAAGTGTTCCAAAGCCTTTTATTTGATTTGCTCCATTTGTTTAGTTTTGTAAATTTTATTTATGATGCTGTTAACATGTTCAATCAATCTTCACTGCCACTTTAATGAAAACATCTATAAAGTGGCAGATTTATGAAGAGGCAAGCCCCCTTACCCAGACTTTTGGGCATGCCTCATTTTAAAATATTACATATACAGTCAAAAGTCTTTAATCCGGACTCATTGGGACTTCGGCTATTCCGGATTATCGATCATCAATTTAAATCTGGTAAGATGGCATGCAGAAATTATAAAATGAAAAATATGAAACTGTAATTTATGAAATAAAGAGCAATTATAATCTAAAGGGTATAAAAATTTACAAAAAAAAAAAAAAAAAAAAAAAAAAAAAAAAAAAAAAGGGCTTAATATTTATTTGTTTACTTATTTAAACATTTTTTTCAACGCGCGCATAGTCGAAATTAGAAAATTGCAACCAGAAAACTACTTGATGTGTATTCATGATATTTATAATGACGAGGAATTTGATTCAAATCATATCAAAGATGCAGTACATCGAGATGAAATACTACATTTAGTAAGGAATTATAAGCCAAATAATTTTGCAGCAATTCCACTTTTTGTTTGATGGACATCGAAACATGCTTTCGCTTTGTAGACGCTTTGGCAGCTCCAGAATCGGAAATTCTTTTTGACATAATCGAAAGTTCAAGCTTACTTTTATAAAATTGCTCTAACAGTCTGGGAAAAAAAAAAAAAAAAAAAAAAAGCCGGATCCAATTCGAAGAATAAGGAACAACGCAATCTGCAACATTAACTGAAATAGGTAATTAGATAATTTTAGCTTAGCTTAGACCATCCGTTATACATTAAACGTATATGCGCATGCATAAAGGTATTATGCGCATGTGCAGAAAGTGTGTAGCTTTGAGGTCCGGATTTAAGACTTTTGACTGTATTTATTTATTACTTTTTTTTTTTAAACTGACTGCTTTGGAGACCTTTTGAATAGAGACTTCTCTCAAATATGACTTGCACAGCCTTAAATATCCACTGTTGCAACCACTGCCCCTTTCTCCTATATTCAATTTTAACATTACTATAATTTCTTAACAGGCAACCAACTGAATGTCTACTAGCACACATAAAGTTAATCTTACACACATTGATATAAGAATATGAATTTATCAGCAAAACTATTTTTTAAAATATAATGCCCTGTCTACATGAGGAGAATATCTCCGAACAAGTACCTCTGGACGCCTGCTGCAATTCTTACACAGGGAAACATAGCTCTTGACATGTCAGACACATGTCCATGATACCTGCATTGGGAGTCACGACCACTGCATATGACGGGACCCACTGTCATAAGAGACATTTGGTTACAACAAATGAAATTGCATATGGAAATCACATGCCTAAAAAAGCATGGTGGTACTCTCAGCATTTAGCTTACTGAATAACATAAAATCTCAGCATTTAGCTTACTGAATAATATATGATGTGAATCCTTTTGAGTTTTCATTGTTATTTTAATAAACTTAATTTATGATGTGACATTTCTTTTAGATCATAATTTTTGATTGATTTTTTATACATAGAATATTTTTTCAGATTGATCTTCATCAGGACCAAGAATCATCATCAACAACAGCGGGATTAACACAGTGAAAGAACTATAAATACCTGGACCTCATGTGGGATGAAAGATTGACTTATATTTCCCACATTAAGAAAGTTAAGCAACGTACAAGCCAAGCTGTGCAAAAATCTGACAGTTCCAAGGAAACAATTAGGGACTAGATTTGCACATTCAAAAGACTCTCTGTCATGAGATAGGATGGTTACATATGCTGCTCCAGTCTGCACCAAATTAATGCAAGGGAGGAAAGTAAAACATCTTCTCGATGTGCAGCTCCCATGCACAACAGCATTGGTTAATGTCTTGGCAGGTTTAAAACCAATGCATATTCATGTTAAGCAAAAAGCACAGTATTCCATCTTCACATTTCCACAAGTTTCTCTGAGGAGCAGTATTATCCAAACAATTATGAAATGCTCGTGAATATGTGACATGTTCGAAGGCAAGGTGTAAACACCCCAATACCATAAGAACCCAGGGAACAGCATTAAGATTATACACACGGATGGCTCATGTATGAAAGACAAATTTAATGCAGCAGTTCTTCAGCATGGAGAAGAAACCTTAACCTATCGAAGCAGCGACTAAGCAATACCTCCCCATGTTTCATGCAGAAGTAGTGGCTATTTTCAGAGCTACCCAGGACATCATTCATCAAAACCTACAGGAAATCACAATCTACACAGACAGCATGTCAATGTTCCTACCCATATTCAACTATCCCCATACATGCTCGATAGTTATGCAAATTCTGAGACTTATACAGGGATCAACTTCATAACATAAGCTCTTTCGGGGGAAAGCACATGCTGGAGTAAGTGGCAATGAAACTGCTGATAAATTTGCCAAGAAGGAACCATCAGAAAGAATTCATTATCCACAACCAGCACTCTGGTCATGCTTATACTGGGCAAAACACCTGAAACACAATGCATAAATCAAATGGCAGAACAGAAAGCACGTGAACACCTCACAATTAACCAAATTTATTACAGGACTCGGTCCCTATCTCGAATATTTTAATACACAAGGTGTAGGCAACAACGACCTCTGAGTCTGTGGATTAACTGGTACCCCCAGACCCATTATCTTACTATCCTTTAGTTCAATGATCAAGTTTATGCCTTTGGTAAGCGTGTTTGTAATGTATATTATTATAAGTGAATATATCCTACTGTAAAGTAAGTTTAGTATTTGAAATAATGTAATAATTATATAAATTATGTAACTTGGCCCTCAGGCCCAATTGCAACAATATCTTACAGTGCCATTTGACGGTATCTCCCAATGTCCTATATGTGGACCATGAAATAATACCACCTAACCTCTTGATAGAATGATGGTGTCTCTTTTCCTCCCATCAACTGTCAGCTGTATAGACGAAAATCTATCAGACTTGTTCAGAGATGTGTCTCCTTGTGTAGACAGGGCTTAAGACATAATTTTAGTAAAATTTGAATTTATCTGACTTACCAAAACAGGATCAGCATCTTTACCATCTATCCACTCTTCAGCTGAAATAGCAGGTATGTCAGCAAGAGTATCTGGATACAAGTCATCTTGGAAGAGGTCCGACTTAAAAAGATACATAGTCATGTTATGTAAGATTACATAATACTCAGAACAAAAGAAATAAAAAAGGTCTACTTTAAAGTGCACTCACATTTTTATAAACTTCCATATTACAAACACATGCTTTTACAAACTACATACTATTCCTATGAAACTTTCAGCTTTTAATGCAATTTCTACCAATGAACTTCTTTTATAATGCGCATTAGTATGTAAAATTCAGAATCCTCTATATACTAGTTTAAATATCTATTATCTTATGCCCATACTTTATTACAAAAGTAAATGAAAAAAAATTCTCTGTGTCATATATTTACAGAAGCGACTCAAAAAAAGTAGCTAAAGAATTTTATTTGTTTAATTACTGATCCTAGGCATGTACTTCTGGAAACAAAATTTCTCAAACTGAGGTAAAGAATTTTATGAAAATAAATCTCAAGACTGTGGGTAGGAAGATCCCATAAATACATAAATACAGTTTTTTATGTGGCTCTTACATAAAACTCTGTAGATTCCAAATAGTAAAATTAAGTATGTCTAAATATACATGAACGTACAAAAATATTTTGCACCTTCATGTAAATAATTTGCTTAAATATGCATATAATTAATACTTTTATATGGCCAGCTTCAAATCATATAATGACTGCTGTTTTTTCTAATACAGAAACACTAAGATGCAATTTTTTCCCCCCAGTAGTTCCTCCTCAAATCTGAGAGAAGAATCTTCCAATTTTGGTAGGCAACCAATAATGAAAAATGAGCAAATTCATTCCCAAAAACTTCTTCAGTAAATTAATTCCCATGTACATTTGCAAATTATATATCCAGAGGTGTTAAATTAAAAGAAAACTGAATATCTTACAAGACTGTAAATTTCGCTCAATGGAGACCACATAAAAAAGTTACAATTTATATTTACAGAACTCTCCCATTCACAGTTTAAGATTATTTTCATAAAATACAAAGTGCATCTGAAAAGTTTGGTTAATCGTCTCAGGAAATAAAGGAAACAAGAATTACAAACAAAATACCTTTACTGGCCTTCAAGGTAATCCCCATTAGCTACAATGCACTTCTGACATTGGATGTAAAGCTGTTAGAAACTGTCAGCAAATGCTTCTTTTGGTATCGCTTGAAGCACCACAAGTGCTGCTGGATATTTACAACATCTCCGAAAAACATGAGCTAATTTAAGGTAGCAAAAATAAAAGAAGTCTCCCAGTACCAAATCAGGAGGGTGCTGAAGAACAGTTGACTTGCGTTGGGGCAGAAAGCTGAGCATGCGGACCGTAGTGTGCAGACAGGCACTGTTATAGAAGAAATTCCACTATGGTACAGTTTTGGCTGAACCTGCCAGATGCATTGCAGCAGCCATTTCAAAACTCCATTGTAAACTTTCACATTGACAGTGTAAACCTTGTGCAGAAAATTCCCATGGATCATTTAACATTTCAATTACATTGGACTTGTGGTCAAAAAAGGCAATTGACATCGTCTTAATCTTGAATTTTGTATACTGACTTTTTTTTTGGAGGGAGACAAGATGATGAACACCATGCCACAGACTGTCACTTTGTTTCCAGAACATATTGGCAGCACCAGTTCTCATCTCCTGTAATGATAGTTTAAAAAAACTGCGGATTTTGGTCAGACATGTCGATGAAATCTCCAAATATAACCATCCAAGTTTGCTTCAGCTTATCAGTCAACATATGCAGTACACACTGGGCACAAATCTGCTTTTTCAGATGCTCATGAAAAATATTGCTTACACTGTCTTTGCTTATCTAAAATCTTCTCCTATTATTCTCAAAGACAGCCATAGATCATCCATCACACTCCTTCGATATTGTCTGGGGCTGTGCTTGTTGATGGTCGACCTGAATGTGGCTCATCTATGAAAACTTCCTTTCCAGCTCTAAAGTGTTTAAA